TCTTTGTTTAATTGTTGATAACCGGTGTAATTACTTATCTAATAGGCGCTCTCTAAGACCTTAGCTGTTGAGGTGCAGTAAAGAATTATATCAACGTCAGTCAGCCAATTTTACTTCAATAATGTAGAAACTTTGCTTGTGTTCTGGGCATGAAGACCTTAACAGCTTAACTGATAAATAACAACAGTAAGGCCATTATTAAAGTGAGGAATGTGCACTAATATCAATGAAAACAATGCTTCTATGGTGGACCTCAATTATAACGAAAGGACGAACAGAGGCTTGGAGATGGGCGTCCGAACAAGCCGAGAACGAGGAGTGTACAGCGAGTGCATGATGGGGACGAGAAGCGTGGGAACGTGGTTGGTCGATAAGTGAACAACAAGGAGCAGGCAGCAGGAAGCGTGGTGGCGGCGTGACAGGGGTGTGGACAAGGCAAGATACCGCCTGTCGCCTGGCTCACCTGCCTACGTTATCGACGAGGAGAGGATGGCGGGTGTGTGATCAAGCGGGGAAATCGCTCGCCTCACAGATAAAGGAGACGCTAATCTTTATAATTTAGATTAAGTGAAGTTTGAGAGTGTCAACAACTATGAAGGGGACCTACTTGGGGTAGCGTGGTGGATCTCGAGGTGTTCACTGCGCATGGGTTAGCCTGACAAGAATTTTTCGCAAGACGAATAATTTTATTGCAATATATTACACTATTAGGTGCTGGACATGCAACAAAGTTAACTAATATGCTGTATTTTCATTTTTGTTTCGGTTAAGGCACCATCATTAATATCATTATGAGTAGATGAATCAGGGCCGGATTCAGGAGTGGGCAAAGTGGGCCGCTGCCCAGGGACCTCCACAATCTGGGGGCCTCCACATATTACAATATTTTATTTATTTGTTTATTCATTTGGATTATTTTTATTTTCATTCTTTAAAATTCATGTTTATCTATAAATATACAGTTAATTACAAATTTCTCAATGTTCTAATTTCCTCAATATAACTGCATATGGCTTCAAAATTCTCCAAAGAAGTGTTCAAATTTCAAAATTTTCCCGGGGGGGCTTACAGCGCCCCCCAGAACTCCCAGATGTTTAGGCTCGCTTCACTCGCCACCCCACCCTCTTGGGTAATTATAATGAGGGGGGCCTCCACAAAGAGGCTGCCCATGGGCCTCCACAGGTCTAAATCCGGCACTGAGTTGAATAAAGTACTTTTTATATACATTTCTATCACGATTAATTAATTATTGACGCATATGACCAGACTATAGTGTACGTAATTTTTCGGTGTACAGTATTTATATTCCTACCTTGGGTTAAGTCACCACCATTATCCCACCCTATAGTACTAAATTTGTACTTATATTCCCGAATAATGTTTCTGAGTATGGACACTGTATCTCTCAGTTATGGAGTGATGCTCCCGACAAGCAGCACCTACAGTACACGCTACTTGGCAACCTTGACACGATTTGACCCTGAAATTATATTCGCTCTCGGGATTGTCTTGAGAGCGCTTCCCGTACTTGACTTAAACAGCCAGCTAACATAACGAAAGAACTAGATACTCAAGTGACCCTGTGTGTGGTTGGTTATAGGTCTTGTTTGTCTGCAGTACGAAAGGGAGATCTCTTCAGTTGAATTTAAAATCAGCTGATTCCCTGGTAGTCATACCCGTAGCAGCCATGTTTTAAATATAGACGAAGTGATCACATGATTAAACTAACATTTTACTCCCTAAGAAACTATTTCACGTATTTAATTCGTTTATATATGATGCGCATTTGCTTTCTTTTACACCAGCATGTTTACATTGTTGCGCCACTTATTGTCCGCTAACTAAGCATATTTAATTCTAAGACTAAGATTATACTTTTGTGTAAATCAGGTCTTAAACGATACCGTGAACTCGCTTTTTCCGAAAATAAAATCGTTGATGATAATATTGTTTGTTACAGTGGATTAGTGAGTGTTATCAATAGAAACAGGTAGTAAGTGATATCGGTGTAGATACAGGGGTAGGTAGGTACTGAACGTAAGTATCAGCGGGGTATGTCATTCGCCTTTGAACTGGTGACAGGTCAAATGAACGCCAGTCGGGTTGTGCTAGACTTAAATGGTTAGGTTAGGCTAAAATTAGAATCCATTACGACTGAGGCCTGGTACAATGGGGAAGGGAATTGATTAATTAATAAAACCAGGAAGTACTGTATAGTTGTACTGTGTGGCCAAGATGTATAATGGACCTGTGGTACGAACCAGGTTAATTGTTTCTTGTGCCAGACGAATTGTTGCATCAATAGATAAATTATTAATGAGAAAGGAAACCATAATTATGTATATGTTGTCAAGCCATTAGTCATTTCACTTTAGTATTGATTAGCTTTTTACACAAACACTAAACAGATCAAGATAGCATGTATGATTACGGGCCTTTGATTTCTTCGTAATATACAACTGAAAAAGACCTGGAAGGATACGCAGGCTTGGCACCCTCGTCCAGAATGAACCTAAGTCGGTATTATCTTTCACAAATAACTTAAAAACAAATGATGCACTTAACCTTGGCATGATAACTTAAGTTTAGAAAAAAAACGGATAACTGAATATCAATATAACCATTAGTGTAATATAGTTACGCATTAAAATCTTCACAAATAATTAAGCTTTGGCTGTAAATAATATTCGTCATAACGTACGGTGGTTTGATCACTCCTTGGTGTTGTATGTTTGTAAATAATAGACATTTATGTAACCCGTGTGAATAACCTACTAAATATTCACAAGAGGTTGTAAACAATGACATAACCGATGAAACCAAGGTCAAACACTGGTGTCTTTGTTTAGTTTAGTGTTAGCGACCTCAGCTAGACTGCTTTTCCAACGCATTATAGTTAAACATAAATCAACACCATGATAAACTTTGGTCAATGTATATCTATATGTGTATACATATGTAGTGTGTGATGTGTGTGTGCAGATGTGTGGTATTTATATACTGTATAATGTATGTGTGTGCATATCATCTGGAGTATCAACTAGTATATCAGTGTTGTCAAGGACAATGCACGCAACATCGGATTCAAGTCCTCAGGAACTCAAAAGCGCCTGCGGCCGGCCACGTAACATATTTCAACAGCTAGCTTGAAGTGTTTTGTTATCTGACAAGTGGATGGGTCGCCACCACCCGCCATGACCTGTCTCTCCCTCCCTCTAACTTAACCTTTGATCACATGTTCTTCTGGCACATTCTCCCCAGCCAAAAATACCTATAAATTCCTTACCTAGTCTGACCTAAGGGGTCACCTCAAGCAGCACCTTTTTCTATGGAGGACTGAGGCTGAGAGATAACCATAACCCAGTCCAAACGAGACTCATACACAGCAGTAGACATTCATCGGGTGAGTCACGTGCAGGGCCTAGCGTCACATTTCATACGCAGAGGTTAAGATAGTGTAGGTGTACCTAGATATTTGTGAACCAACTGGTTGGGTACGGCTAACAGACGAGGATGTAGTTATGTTACTCAATCTGGTTCACACCGGATAGCTGCCACACACTGTGCTCTCAGTGGAGAAACCCGGGACCAATGGACCGCCAACCGAGTATGATAAGCATAATCTCTCTAAACGTGAACCATATGGAATATAGTACTTGGCCTCCCTTGACGAGAAGGGTCTAACTGAACCAAAATCGGTCAACCACCAAGCAACACTGTCATGACATGCTCACTAAAAATTAAAATAATCCACTAAGTCTATGGAAATTTATCGAGCGGAAACCAAAATTGGGACGGACTGACATACAATTATAACCCTCCGAACTTTTAATTGGAGGACAAAAAGTTTCACGAACACGAGTACAGTACATGACTAACATGCGTCACATAGAGCTAATACAACGCTATGAATCAGAAAATTAATAAGAATATAACGAAATACGTACAGTTACAAAGACCTGGTCAGACACTGAGGGCGGGCTGGTCAAACTTTTGTCTGCGGATGAGTGAAGTATGGAGGAAATCATAGAGCTGAATGACGCAACTCTAATTCGTCCATTGTTTACAATAGACTACTGGGTACTATAGCTAGTGGGTTAACTAATGTGCACCATATATTTAGAGCTTTGCGGTTGTATACATGACATCTTGATGAATGAATCTATGTTTGATGTTATTTAAAAGTATTATACTCTGTGTACATAGTAAATACTGTGTACGTGATGGAGATCATGGTATACACTGTGTACTTTTAATCAGTAAACCCACGTCTGCATTGATTAGGACGGAGACTACAATTGCTCACTAGTGTACCGAATATATCATGTTCCCGAAGAGGATGGTTTTTGTTCATTCACAATTTCTGTAGGTTTGCTGATGAAAAACTGTGTATAACGTTACACTGTTCAGACCCTCTCACACCACACATGTCTTATCTCACACATTTTGCCAACATCGGACTGTAGCTACTAACACACTTTCCTTACAACAAGCTTTACCAACAATAAATTTTTCCACAAAATGTATCTGGTTGTACAGTATAGTGAGATTATAATTTTTTTATTAAGGAATGTCTGGGGATCTAGATTAGTGTTATACGAAGGACTAAAATACAATAAAATTTTCACTAGATGAGACACACAATTCTACCACCCGATATCAAAAGCTTCATTTTATTAATAAATTCTAGGGACTCTTTTTCTTTCACTTTTCTTGCGGACGATCTAATTGACAGTAATTCCTATTTTTCCATCGTCGACAAATGATGACTCTAATCTAACTTAACCAATAGCATTAGGGTTCATTAAAAGTGAAGCCTAATGGGATTGGGTGGCGACTTAGAATTGGTGAAGTTGGGACCCCATAGGACTAGTGGTATATTGGTTCTGGGGGCCCAGTAAAACTACTATACAGTACACTATATTTCTTCTGGGGCCCATAAGGCAAGTCAACCTAGCGGACAACTGTTAAACTAAACCAAGGGTAATGAAACATTGGAGGTTACAGAGGCCTATTTTTTTATTTATTCTCTGAGGAACACGGGAGTTCAGAACATTTTGTGCTTCCATGGAATTATTTGTACAGTCAATAAAGCACACATTGTTTTCTCCTGTCAACAAAGAGCACTACAAGTGTACTAAGTAAATGGCTGGGTGTCAAGGGGTGTAGTAGATCCTCCACGAAAAATAACATATATCACGGCGAGTTTGTTTATGTTTTAGTGCGCTAGGCTTCTATTTTAAAGTTTTGTTCGTGATTTGTAAACGGACATAATGTACCCTAACCTCTAGTGGTTATAATGTGAATATTAAACTAATATACCGTGACTTTGGTTAAGATTGGTTAAGTTAGGTTAGGTTAGCTTAGGTTTAGTTGGTTGATTTAGACTAGGAGAGATTAGATTAAGTTAGTTTACAAATTATAAACAATTTAGATCAAAGTTAGGTTTGGTTAGAATAGGATAAACAAAAATTTCCCCGGAGGAACTATTACATTCCGTGACACCGGGTTCCTGCTGTAATAAAATGGCAAAAAATGGCAGTATAAAAATCCTTATTACACAAGAAGCGGTAATAGTGTCGAGATTTTTATTATTTATAAGATATCGTGTGTAAAAAGATAACGATTCAGTCCACCTTTTTATTTTATTTTGTTTTAACTGCTGTCAGATTTCTGTTTCATCTATACTACACCTATTCTAGCATGGGTTGGCCGTGTGTGTGTGTGTGTAAAACCTGAATAAACCCCAGATTGTAACTTATCAAAAACGAATCTTTATTATCCATTATCCACATTCTAAAAAAAAAAAGCTTACGTTAACAATATAACCCTTTATCTATCAATCCCTTTACTGTAACTTAATTATGCCCGACAGAAATAAAAAAAAATTAAATAAGCTTGGAGTAACAATAGGCTTCGCAGACATTTCTAAGTGCTTGTTCAACAATAATTAGTGTTGCGCTTTTTAATCACTAATAATAATAGTAATCATAATGAAATATAAGTTTTCAAGTTTTCTTCAGGGATTATTTGGTGACTTAAGAGATTATTTAAGTCTTGAGACTTCAATGTAAATACTTAACTATAATTTTAAACAAAACTATATTCACCAAGTTTCCAAACATCAAGAAACTTAATTACTGAGAACCAAGGCAGTGTTAACAATATTCTAAAACTCGGAAATGATGAAACAGAGATCCGCCAGCTGTTAAAAGTGGACGCCATATACAAAAATACTAAAAATGCAGAAGACCTCACAACATTCAATGCGAAATTTCCCCATCTCATCAATTCAAATCTCTGAAACAAACTAACAAAAAAAAAAGTCCAAACGCAGTAACGATTATATAGGTAATTTGTTGATAAGTTCGGTTTTATTTATTCTCCAAATCAAGCAAGACCAGTACAGGCTGTTCAACAAGGCCTGGCGTTATACTCAATCACCCGCGCTGACGTAAATGCAACACCCAGACGTCATTTCGGCACTCTTCCCCCGCAACGCCAAATGCATCTTTCCTCACCCTTGAAACTACCGGTGTTGGCCAATGGTAAGTTAATATATATACAGTACATTATAAATATGACAATAGTATCAACATTACCCAGTACATAATATTGTTTAAGAGTCTCTAGTCAGTGACCAAGGAAGTCACATCTGAAGCTTGTAGATTGAACTAATACTTGGGGTAGATTGAGTTAAAGTTTGTAGTAACAATTAGATAAGAGACTTGCAGTAGATTAGGCCAAAACTGTAGAAAGAGCGACTACTTGTAGATAAGAAGAAAGCTTGTAGTAGATGAGGCTGAATCTTGTTGTAGATCAAGATGAAGTTTGAAGCGGATCAAGATGATACGTGTAGATTAGACTAGATTGAAAGGTTCAGTAGTAGGTAAGCTGGACAAAGATTGAAGTAGATCATATGATACTTGTAGATCAGGATAATACTTGTAGCGATTCAAGCCAAGACTTTTAGAAGATTAAGTTAACACTTGTAGTAAACCAAAGCTGAAATTTGTAGTAGATAAAAAAAGGCTTGTCCATTAGGTTGAAACTTGTAGAATAGATTGAAACTTACATTACATTAGGTTGAAATTTAAATTTGATTATTTTGAAAACTTGTAGTAGATAAGGTCGAAACTTAATTGTACAGTAGACGCACTAAAACTTGCAGTAGATTTAAATATGGCTCGTAAGTTTGGTTGAAACTTGCAGTACTGTACATAAATTTTAGGGTTCAATCAAAGACCTGAAGGAGATCAGGTTGAAGAGCAAGTAGCAGATTTGGCTAAGATGTATCGATGGAGTTCAAGCTTGTAACAAAATAGGTCTGAAAGTAGTAGTAGTAGTAGTAAAAAAGTAGTAGTAGTAGTATTGTAGTAATATCAAGTCGCTGTATTCGGATCACTGCTATAAATAGGTCATGCAAGAAATAAAAAAATATGTTCTTGACGGGCAGTGCTCTCACACCTTCACGTAATATAACAACACTTTTCCATGCCTGGTGACAGTAATAATTACTCTGCGTGTGGTAGTGACGCGATTCAACCAGTGATGTGTTTAATTTAAGTGTGGAGAGAAAATATCCACAGCTTTATGTGAAGTGATGATTTCTAAGCGCGATGGTCAATTGTACGGTAAATTCTCGTTCCGTTACACCGCCGTAGTGATTGAAGCTGTTGTTATAATGTATTTATGTGTTTCAAAGGCAGAGGGATTGAAGCAGAATACACAAAAATGTTAGCTCGACTAAACCTGTACTGCAGAGCTCAAGGTTCTGCTCAAATTGAGTTCTCAACCTTCGCTAAAGTGACAATAGTCAATGTATTTTCATTCCAAATTTTCTCCGCATACTTAAGATGGTAAGAACACTATAATTTATATTATCGACTTTTTCGACACTAGGTTAAGCTTAAACCTGTACTGTATCAGTCAATATTAAATGTACAGTCCGCGCTTCTTAAAAGACTTTCCCCATTTATAAATTATTGTCTATTGTAGAATACACCAGTCGTTGAAACACGCTAATACATTATAACATCTTTTCACTGTCGAACATTTAGAGTCCATTTACTGCCGGTCTCTGGTTCATGGCATCTTGCTGTCTCGTCTGTATTAACATGTTATAAAATACACTGAGCCAGGGGAACAGGCTGAATGATGCTGCCGATAACAACTTGGTGAGGTAAAGCGGTCGATATATCCTGGTAACAACTTATGTACAGTCACGAAAAAAGTCCTGTCGGTCCTCCGCCCATCCATGAACCCTGAGGCTCATGAACCTGTGAATCCGAGACACCACACAGCGTTGAACCCATAGATGGTGCACTGTGTGATGTCTCGGATTAAGAGGTTCATGAGTTTCAAGGTTCATGGATGGGACGGGGACTGACATGACTTTTTCCGTGATGCACAGTAGCTAAAACAACTATCTGTGCATACTTTGTGTGTTAACAATATGAGAACATGGACGATAAATTTTGGTATATGAGGCCTGTCACTAGTCACATCCCACGAAAAATCTCGGAGCATATCGACCCCCCACCTGCACAGATAGTTGGTACATACTTTGAGTGTACTAACTGGATTGCTGATGAGGACATAATTATAGAATCCCCTATCGTGAGTGTTTGGTTAGAATAGGTTAGCTTAGCATCGTAGCTTATTTGGGATAGATTAGGGTAGAGTGAGTCAACTATATTAGGTTAGGTTAGGTTAGGTTAAGATATATGGGCTAGGTTAGGTTAAAACTTCTGGCTTTGATTGTATTGGTTAGGTTAAAATATATGGACAACTTTAGATTATATGGGTTAAGTGAGAATAGGTTAGGTTAGGTTACATGGGTTAAGTTAGGTTATATGAAAAAGGTTAGGTTAATTTATGTTAAGTAAGGTTAGGTTATATTAGGTGAGGTTAAATTACATGCCCTAATACAGTACAGCAGTTATGTTACGCAATAAGAGTTAGGTTGTCACATAGGTTAGGAAGCCCAAAATACGGACATTCATTAGAGAAATACAAAAATCCACGTAGAGGGGGATTCTACAATGGCTCCAGTTTGACAATCATCTATGAAACAATACAGTGTTTTACCCTGTTCTTTAAGTTACATGGTCATCAACTTTCTACATAGGTTGGTTAGGATCCTACAATGAATAATTAATTTCCAGAAGTAAAAACACAGGAAAATCATATTGAATACCGTAGTAAAAGTTACCATTAACCAAAATAGATTAGAATTAATTTATATTAAATTTTGATAAAAAAGATGAAATTATGCCAAGTTGGGCAGAAATGGAAACTCGATGGAAGCAAGTGCCTTAACGTTCATGCTGCATAAAATATGTACGAACTGTTAACATAATAACAAAGCTAGCAATATTCTTGCCGTCAAGCAAAATGGTCATTAGGCTGTTTTTTAAATCCACGTACAGTACGCACAACACAAGCGAGGTACAATAAAGAACAAGTCCAACCAAAATACAAACACTGAATAATATACTGCATTAATATGATGATTTCAAGGTAATTATAGAAAATAGGCGATATTATGAGGAAAACTGACGGGAAGGTGACGGAATCCAACAGATTTCAAAGGTGTAGGAGATTCCTTTTGCAAGTATAACTCTTCATATATAACAAACCAATATTATTACACTATTGGTGATTAATATTAGTGGTACGCATCTTCACTGGCATCCACTATAGCACAGGATTACAGAAATTTGATTCGACATATGAATGCTGGAGGCTCGTGTACTGTGACAATAACATGATTATACAGGGGTACAGTATCTCCCAAACTTTACATCATCAACTCTCGCCTCCTTTGACATAGTTATCTCTTTCTATACTTTATCAGCACACTTGAGACCCTCTCCCTCTGGCACTGTATGATTAAATTTCATCCTCTTTTGTACCATTACTCAACCAATTCACATTCAGATACTGTACTTGGAATTGGAACACCTACTGCCTTCACCGTGTTTCCATTGTTGATATTTTACGTTTTTATCTCCCCTACACTAATTCTAATCACTGTACTTTCGTTCACAAAACTATTTTATCCTACTACACTACTGTTTCATTTTCACTCATTAATATACGTAATTTTCCTTCTAAGCCACCAACCACACGATACACAGAAGCCGATTCAAATTATATTAGCAACGTAGGTCATTCATGTTCACCAAAATCGCTTTTTCTCTCAAATACCCTTGCCTACACATCCTTTACCGTCCAAGCCATGACAATAATACCTTAACAAAGACACACACAGCATCCTTGCCACAATACTACTAGCATTTGTTTTTGTTGCTGTTATTTGGCCAGAATTTTTATTTTACTTATTTAATGAGTGTTCGACTAAATCCTAAAATAAAGAAATAGATTCAGTAAACTTACTCATTGTGAAATAGATACAATCACAATATGTAAAATACGTAGAGTTATACTTACAAACATCCGTGTTATGTCAGTTCTAAGTTGGGAGAAAATGCCATCAAACATTTCTTCGCTGGACTTGCACTTTTAAACAACATTTAATACACAACGGTATATAAGGCTACGGGTTCACTTATAATAATACACAAAGGAAGATAACAAACGTATGACGGGATATAACTTAGTTTTTCTTAATACTGTCCACTAATGCACCTTCTCATGTGACGTTCATAATGATTGTCAGATGAAAGCACATGACTTTAACTTAACTTTACGATCCCAGGGTACGTTTGCTTGGGTTAGTTTACATTTAGTTGGCTCCTATCTCCTGAATTTTTGTTTTCCGTGGTACTGTTCTTAAAAATTAGACCATTTAGCGGGATGTCACGGTCAGTCACTTTTGTTTACCTGGTAGCATTAGGTGGTGTAGGCTAGAGCCTGCGAAGTTAAACATTTTCTACCACTTCATTGTTTTAGCCTTATCGTTTCGTGTTTAAGTACAGTACTTGAAAATAATACTCATTGAATAACAATCATTTATAATGCTGATAATTAATACAATACCAATATTTACTAAGTTAATATTATCTCCTGAACCACATGATGAATGAATCTCTTCGCAGTATTGGTCTCATGCATTTGTTGTTCTATATGAATATGAATAATGTGAAGAAGTAAAACAAAATTATAATACTGACACGACAGAATCTAGTATGTTTTCACCGAGACCTACAGGGTCAAAATGTTTCTATACCACTGAAACACTTTCGCTGTACAGGGGCACGGGTATTATGATTTAGAAATGACAATCGTAGTACCAATATAAATAATAATAATATATTACCAACATATCACCAACATACAGTCCATGGCATGACCGTAGCTTCCCCATGAAACACATTTCCACATACAATATTCTGCTGTACGAAGATTTTCAGTGCAAAGCAGTAACACACACACTAGCATTATTTACAGCTTTGTACACACGTGCACATAGACATGACCGCACAGCGGCTGCTTAATGTTATTTATATATATATAATTATATATATAAACAGGAGTGACAAAGGCAGCAAAAATAGTGTATAATATGTACGTGGAGTGAATTGCCTTTATAAACAGACATCAGACAAGTCGGAGTCACCACGCAGAAGGCTGGAAATGGTCGCTGTCCAGTCTACATTGAACTAAAAAATGCAAATTATATTCTTACACTTTTCTCACTGTTAGAGATATCCGAACGCTTTTAACTGGCTCACGTAAGTCAAAGGACATTCTGTCATCTTATGAGACAACTGAAATTAAGTTTGAGAATCGAGGCTAAAGCGTTAGTAATTTATTTAATAGGTTAGGTTAATTATATTAAGACTGTTTAGGGTAAGTTAGGAATCTGTTCGGTTTATAAATAATCGTTGGTACGTTAGGGAAAGACATGCAAGGTTTAATCTTTCTGAATAAATGCTCAAGTCAATTAGCAGGCAATTAGATTATGAAAAGAACACTAAAGATACAAGAAAATGAAGAGTTATTTCAGCGTTTCATTTGGTTAATAAATCAGACATGATATGTAGGTATTATGAGGTATTATTACGCTTCAACTAAGGTTTTTAAACTTGTTATTATGTTAATATTACGCAACAATTAGCAAATACATGCGTCTTTAGTTATATTAGTGGATACAGTAAATAAATTAGTGCAGTACTGTATATGATCTTACATTGTGGACTTGACGGCAGCAGTTTCCGTCCTTTGTCTAACATTCTCTTATGATATCAAAACACTCTTGATATCTCCCATACTATTATCACTAACAACGTGAGAACTGATATCGAGAATAAAGTGCATCAATAAAAGTATGGAATTATACATTATAGCGAATAAAGATATTTGATGTAAAAGGAACCATATAGTCAATTTTGTTAACGATTATTTACAGTACAGTACAGGTGTACTGTACTTATAAAATACTTTATTTTTACATTGCAGTAGAATTTAACGTGTACAATGAAGCCTTCTATGAATGTAATGTTTTCTTCATAGTAAGTTTCGTTGTTTATATTAATAAAAAATGAAAGGCGTAAGTTTTACGATATCCAACACGAAAAAAAGGCAAATGCTATGCAACATGACCGTGCATAGGTGAACGAATTAATAATAATACAATAGTGCAGAGAACATATGTGTGCAATGTTATTTAACAGTACAAGTCAATATTTCAATATTTTAATTATTAGCACCGGCTATTACGCTGTAAAGGTGAGCAAACAGTTTACTGATGATGTGCCATGGAGTTGCTGTATATATATATATATATATATATATATATATATATATATATATATATATATATATATATATATATATATATATATATATATATATATATAATTTGCAAAATTAGAACACTCAGTAAATTCAAAAGGCTTTGTTATGTAATGTTATAAATCATATTTTGTTGAGAATACTGTACTATAAGCAGATGGCATGAGGGGAGTCACATCACGACGCAACACAAGGTAATCCTGCTGATATTCTAACAAAATATAACCCAAAATGTAATCGCCTACAATGATCAGAATATACTGTGTATTTACAGTTAATATCCCTATTTTTTCTTCACAACTGTTACACCGAGGCTAGGAAATGAAAAGAATTATTGATACAGTAAACCTCCTCTTCAACTTAGTATTTAGGAGAAGAAACCAGATGCGCACAGAGGCTTACATGGCATCATTTGGAGCGCTAACACACCCACCGTAACAGGAGGCGTCATCATGTTCTGTACAATATGTGACATTTATGACATGGCAAAAGGGTGTTACACTTTTTATGGCACTATTTCCAGCTTGACACAATATAGTAACGCCAAACGAAAACATGAGATGTGTTTCCAAGCAACCCGTCCCACCCATATACATACGTATATACCTGTATATATATATTTTTTGGCTACGGCCGATACCAAAAGTTTTATTCCGCTTAAAAAAATACGAAGTCCTTATCTTTGAGTTATTTTACAATAGCCTTGGAGCGGACACTTTTAGAAATAGAGTAAAATAGTGGAATAACATATTTTACATATAAACCTAAACGATAAAAATGTGGACTTTCAAAAATAACCAAACAACTAAAGTGTATGAAACAAAATCCCGACCGACCGATCATATCTTTAAGTCGGGTACAGCACTTATGAAATCAATATTATTACTGTACAAATATTTCATTAATTTGTTTCTTTTCTTTTCCTCATATTCCCCACAGGTCCAATAATAATAATAATAATAATAATAATAATAATAATAATAATAATAATAATAATAATAATAATAATAATAATAGGGGTAAATTACAAAAAATTACTGCAGCATTACCTCAAATAATAAAATATACATATCGATAAGCACTGGAATAACGGAGGTATTTCCTCCTTTGATAACCAACAATATTATAACAGCACTTATATACTAATATCTTGATAACAAAAAAAAATATTTCCAAGTTTTCAAGTTCACGATATGCCTTTATAACTCGTGCCAATGTTGGAGATGATATAATGCAGCCTATTAGTATAGTGGCCAGGGGGAACATGAGGATTGTGTTTATAATAATAATAATATTAATGTTAATAATAATACTAATAATAATAATAATAAAATTAATAAAAATAATAAAACAAATAAATAATTTATGGATTAAATTACTGGTGATAAATCAACATGGCATAATGGAATAACATTATAACTTTAAGGCGAATATGTACACCGGACATTAACTGGCTCCTCCAAGTACCGTACGTTAATCTTTCCCCGTAACTGGAGATTATAAATAGCTAAACAGGTCCAACATTCTAGTAAAAATACAAGAAATTACATAGACGTCATAAATTAATCCCTGGGAAAATAATTAATTACATAGACGTCATAAATTAATCCATGGGAAAATAATTAATTACATACACGTCATAAATTAAATTCCTGGGAAAATAATAATTACATAGACGTCATAAATTAATCCCTGGGAAAATAATTAATTGTATTCTAACCAAAGTAATCTAAGCCCATGTAGTTAACACTTACCCAAAGATTACATTTCGTTTTGGTCATCAGCTGTCGTCTTGGCTTCGTTATTATCAGGCTAGGCTTTCTTACCGTCAGTCTAGGCTTTGTTACCGTCAGTCTAGGCTTTGTTACCGTCAGTCTAGGCTTTGTTACCGTCAGTCTAGGCTTTGTTACCGTCAGTCTAGGCTTCGTTACTGTCAGCTTTACGGTACGACGCAGAAATAACAATACATAATGCATCGGAATTTCACCGAGGCTCTCCCATAACCTGATGTGTTTTCTTATCCCCAGGTGGAGGAAAGACAATAACGTACGACAAACTACCCCCTAATATATCACCTTTAAATTTATATTATTATTTTTTTATATATATAATTGGATGTTACTATAGATGCAGGTCTGGTTATCAATTTATTTTCGCTAGAGCCAGGTATACCGTGGCCTGTGTGAGCTGTACAATAAAGAATTATACGCACGAGGCTGAATTGGTCACAGTACGCATGCGTAGTGAACAGCAACTTGTGACAAAACGTACCTAACAGTACCTAGTGACAGCGCTAGGATCCCGCTTCCTCTATCAAGGAATAAACAATTGAAATTGAATTGAACGTACCTAATTTAAGTTCATTCTTAGTTTATGCTAAAATATTTAATTTCAGCATATATTTTGTCACGCAAGGCTCTTTAGCTTAAAGAAATTGAGGGCCGGACTGTAAATGTAGTAACAGCCTTATTAATTACCATTTAATTACGAGGAGTATATTAATTCTGCGAATAATAAAGCTGTTTAGGAATTAAGTAGATATTATTTATTATTAATGTATGTAATTAATGTTTATTGGCAGACGGGATTCACACTGTCACGCTCTGAACAAACTATTAAGACTTGCTCCTTAATGTATCACTAAAAATGGTCGCCAGATATTTAAGCGTATACGATCAAGTGTGAGGAAAAAACAAGCAACTTGGTTAACTGTACAGCAGCAGTAACACTACAAAAAAAAATCTTTTTGACCAGATCAGATAGTTGCCTCTGATATCAAAACACACGACCAAAAGCACTGATTTGGCCTCAGCTGTTTTACATTTGTAGCTGAGCGTTGATGACTGTGTGGTTGAAATGTCAGTTCACTATTTTGCTCGAACTGTCAGCTCTCGGTCATGTCAGTGTTGACAATTGTGGCCTGACAGGGAGTCGACAGCTCAGACTTTTTCACCTAAAATTGTGCACTATAAATAATGCTTCCTGTCAAGGTTAATTTTTTTTAAGTTTACGATGATCAATTAATATTATAATTGTTCATCTGTGTCTATGCAAAGTGCATATAAAAATATGATCTAAAAATCAGATAAAACATCTCCAACAGAGAACCTGCACGGCAGATTCTGGGAACAGTAAAAATTACATGGAAATATGCAAATAACATCAGCAATGTTGATCCTGCATAATATTGTTGATGTGGTCAGGTCTTGTCGTGGCCAAGGAGAGAGATGGGACTCGCCTCACACACACTCAACTCCTCTTTAACACCAAATTCATTCAGTGTCATCAACTGTCAGATACAAACGTACCCATCCACTAGTGTCTCACAGGACTAACACTACCATTTTTCTACTGGCTTACAGGCGCATTTTAATACGTTTCAAAATCACGGTTCACTGAGCAGAAAAATTGCTGTGATCGAAATTAACCCGATCACCCTTCAAGTATTTATTAAAAGACCACCAACTGGTTATTCTCTGTCGATACGTGACTGTATCCTAGTACTGTATGATGTGAATTTATTTGACCAGTAACGAAGTCAAACGTCGGTCAGTCCTTAGGTCTTTAAATGTTATCCCTTGAAGACACAAAGACTCAGTACATGGTGGTCAACAGTGGGGCAGTTAAAGCACTGATTTAAAAACAAGAGTGTTAACCGTGGCGGACAACACTCCAAGAAAGTACAGTACTCGACTCATTGCGTAGCCTACCTCACGTTGCTCAGGGTCACAACGAATCGACTTCAACCTGCTGTACCAAATTCCCAGACACTGTCCATGAGTATTGGTGGTGTAAGAGGCGTCCTGCTCGTACAACTCCTCGGCCACGCTGACAACGACTTCAAGTAATAAAAAGGAAGAATCGCGGAGGTAGAAGCATGCTCATATACTTGACAATTTTTGTTGTTATTTTGCGTCACCAGTCATGCATTGTGGTCGTCTTGAGCCACCCACTGTCGACAGCAGCAGCGCGATTTTCATGCCTACATTCCTCATCATTTTAATATTTTACGATAGATCAGTTTGAAAAATCATTGTACATAAAAATGACTAAACATCAGATGCATTACATGACGGAGGACGCCCAAGTCTTGTTTCTATACTACTGATAAACGCCTACATCTCAAAATTTTTATTAAATTGGGATTTACTTTATAAATTAATCCATTGTTGTAAACTGGACTACTGTACGTTAATTGAGTGTTCAGGATTTTAAATTAATTTGTCAAGCGTTTGTCTTCTAATTTGGTTTTATTTGACCATGTTTACGACGATTTTTTTTACTTATAAAATAATTCCGCTTGACGTTCATGGTCTGATTTTTTTTGGGGGGGTGGAGGGGGGGATGAAACATTAAAAAAAATTTTTTATTCATATTAGTGGACTCGTCCCCGTCATGTACTGCTCACCACAACCTGCAGCTGCTCACCTAACTACTTAGTTACGTCACTTCCCTTTTTTGCCATAATACAAAAATGATCAAAACTCGTATCAAAAGACATTCCTTAGCCTAAATAGCTTCTTTTATCCACTTTGTTCCTTCCTAAGCCAAATTAGGTTTCCGTAAAACTCACAATATATCAAATCACATATAAAAAGCTTCAAGTTATCTTAGCATTATATATATATATATATGTGTGTGTGTAAGTTTCAACCTTGCTGAGAGCTTTCTAATGGTACACGTTATTTGCCATTCACAGTCCTGGGACTCCGAGTGTTGATATAATGTGTACACATCACGACCTGGCTGCACATAATGAGTACCTACTTTAGATGCCCACAATAACGTTCTCTTGTTTTCAAAGAACACAGAAAGCTTCTCCTTATCTTTCTCTGTCCACAGAAACAGTCTCTTGTCTTCACTGTGGCCGTGTGGAACAGGACTGGATAAGGGCGTCGCTCTCTGAGGGACTCTTAACGAAGCCTTCCAAGCTGATATCCTTTTCGGTGACGCCGAGCTGTGTTTCGCCACCATCTTGCTCCTGCTGCTGCGACCCACCGCTGCCATCTGTAGCCACAGCACCCTCTACTGTGTGTACCTGTCGGGAACAACTCTTTCAGTACCCAAATACAATTCGTGGTTAGGATGTCAAATGGTGTGGATGGTAGGATGAGGTATTATAATGAACAGGAAGCGGAATTAAGGTAAACAGGTAGATGGGTTATTTCTATGGAGATCCAGGATGTCAAATGGGATGATTAGTGAGTAGAGGTTATATAAGGGACAGGGAGCAGAGATAAGATAGACATGATGGTAAAATGGACCATCCTGGAATTAAGATAAAGGTTTGTAGTTGTGACAGAGGAAACGAAGAGTGGACAATAGACACACCTTATACTAAAAAGTCGTGTAGACAACTGGAAATTAAGACGTTAAGAGCATTAAGAATTAGAAGAGGGAGAGAAACAAATAGAGATGATAAGGCTTTCAGGTGAAGCCGAGTCTTCGACAGAAAGAAACTTTTAGCTGAAAAATAGTTGGAACATCAGCGGACAGTCCAAGAATTCTGAAAAGAGATGATGGATGAAGCGTCGACGAGGAGGTGAGAGACTGACACCTGGAAGAATGGTACAGAAGACTAAAAGAGAATAAAGAAGTGCTCAGGACACGTTCAGTGATCCTGTAAAACAGAGAAAACACGATGGACTCACACACAAAGTTTTGAGGTCGTCCTGTACGCCAAAGCGTCTATTGAAAACACAAAATACTTACAGTGTAACATGATGAACAAAAAATGTTTTCCACTACAAATTTAGAGGCAAAAATTGAATTTGGCTTTGAAAAATTCTATTCCTGGAAAACTTAACTTACTGAAATGACTATAAAGTGTTAAGCATAAAAGAAAATGGAGGGCATGAGAAGAGTAACCTAACACAATGATAAGTTTCAGAGTGGAAGATGTTGGTGACGGCAGTTTGCTCCTCTGAGTTGTGGGGGAGGGGAGCGAATGGCTTGTTTTACCGTATATATCACTGAGCATTGATCTCCTGAGGGGCTGGAGGAGGAGGAGGAGGGATACTGTGAGGCAGGGGGAGAAGGTAAGTAGTTCAGGTTATTTAAAAACTTGACAGAAAGCCTAACATATAAGTATTCCAGTGAACGTTGTTTCGTGCTATAAATTACTACATAATCAGGCTACAGAGACTAGATGAGAAACATACAAAGACTCTGTAGAACACTCACTACTGCTAACCAGACACTGTAGAAAGGTGACAACAGGAGGGGAGAGAGGAGCTATTACCTACCATACGATCCTACACCTACAGTTTTTATCTTTTTAAAAATTCTGTAGCTTTTAATATACTGTACAGGTCTAGAGACGATGAAAGAGGCGGAAATAGCGTCTACCGAAAAGATCTGGACATGGGTGCAACAGGAGACCCAACAACAATTTGTCATGCGTGCAAAAGACAAAAATATTATATACAACAGCCTAATGAAAAACAATAGACGTGGATACAAAATTTACCCGTCCAATTTGGGCACATGAACACGGTGGTAGAGAATACACTAACCTACTACGTTGGTAAGGGCCCAGGACCCCCCAGACCAACAGAGCTGTTCATCTGTGTCGTGAGAGAAAGATGGAGCGGTCATCACACCGTGTGATCCCTTAACGACACACGTCACAGTATATACACACCAGGTGCAATTTACTGATACACTTGAAACACAAAATAGAAATATATATATTAATCATATAATTTATTTGAATCCTGACGTAGACGTGTACTTATAGGTTACTGTCAAGATGGCTCTTACAGTATTCCTAACCGCTCTACCGGGCCACAAACTAACCTAATCTAACCAATAATGTTGGGGCCCAGATCTAAGAGGCCTCAGTCTTTATAGGCGCCAATCCAAGCGGTTATCAATCCAGTTGGTTATAGATTACGAGAGGTTGGGGCCCAGTAAGACGGGGTGCTAATGAGGCTCCCGGCCTATTTGACCAGCAGCCAAATGATTAGTGAACTAGGTTGGCCAAAGCCATATACAGCACAATGGAAACTTAACATACAGTCACTGGCAGAAGAGCAAATTGGTACAGGAGAACTTGTTGAACTAATGAAGTTAGACTCAGGAGAACCTTTTTCGGACTGGAGTGAATTTAATCCGGTTTATGTTACCGCCTCGGGTCCGGCTTTCAATCTATTTGTACCAGAAAGTCGAGTATGTCACCAGTTATATTCAAACTAAGGAGGAACTAACCTAACCAAAGCTATCCCCAACTTAACACTAACCTAACCTAAACTAACAGCGATCGTCGAATAGGCTAAGTTAATTCCTCACGTCACATTCTGCGGTTCACTGCGCATGCGTCCCTATAAACAAAAGATCTTGCGCACGAAGCCTGATCATTTTGTCAACAGATTTTGACATACTCGGCTCTCTTAATAAAAATAAACTGACAGCCGGGCCGTGATCATTCGTAAAGCTCCTAAATTTGATGAAGAAAAAAGGATACTCTTGTCGCATTTTGGATTTAAGTAAACAGAGAGCGTAGCTATAAACTGCTTAGTGATCTAACAGTAGACGTGGGATGTAAAGACCAGAGCTGTGAGGGGGACGGTAGTGTTGAGTTAGGAGGGTACGTATTATAATTAGTTATAGGGATGAATAGGTAATTGTGGGAGTTATTGTACGTATATTATAAGGTTAGGTACATGATTAGTTGTGGGTATGGGAGTTAGGTAAATAATTAGTTGTGGGGAGCAAACCTAATTAATAGTAGACATGGATGGTGGGTAGACAATAATTAGTTATGGGTGAGGGATATGTAATGCAGTTGTGGGATGCGTAAATAATTAATTACTAGCGCAAGGAAGAGTAGATAATTAATTGGTCTAAATAATTATATATGGAAAAGGGATGCCTAGATTAGTTGTGAGTACATTATAATCAGACGTAGGGGCGTATATAATTAGTTATGATAGGGTGTCTATATAATTAACTGGGATATGTAGTTAATGAATTATTGACTCAAAGGGGGGTTATATAATCAACTGTGGGATGCGTAGATATATAACTGGTAGCGTAGGAGTGCGTGGATAATTATTGTGGGGATGCGAACATATTAAATTATCAGTGTAAAGATGCGTAGACAATTACAAACTGGAAGCACAACAAATTAACTGCCAGTACACGGGTGGATATACAATTAGCTGTGAGGAGGTGCGTAGATTAGTTGTGAGTGCGTATACAAGTAATCTGTGTGCGTTGAGTATGCGTATATAATTAGTTGTAGGCATAGGGGAATATATATTTACTCAGCTATGGGCGTAGAAGTGCTAGAATGACTAATTTGGGGCGTTAATTAGCTATGGGTGTGGAATTATACATTAGATAAATCGCTGCGGGCGTGAGATGATGAGGGGAGGATGCCAGAGGTGCGATGTGAGTCGTGGGAGTGCGGGTCGGCCAAGTGTGTACAGTAAAGGCGATGGGTTTTGTTTTCTTGTACATTTTACACACACACACATACATACATACACACACGACACCAACACACACAGAGGGTGATGGGGGGGGGGGGAAGGCAATCACATAGACTAAGTTCTAGACGAGGCAGATGAGCTATTTCTATTTATCTTTATTTTCTTCAATTCTTGCTATATTTTGAAGGGAAAGTGAGTTATCTCTAATTATCTTTATATTTTCTTTAATTCTTGCTCTATTTTGAAGGGAAGTGAGCTATCTCTAATTATCTTTATATGTTCTTGATGTCTCTCTCACTCTCTCCTATACTTATCTAACGGTAATTTTTTTCACCAGTGCACAAAGAAATATGTCGAGCGTGTGTGGCGACATAGACTGAGGGATGCTGAGCTTCATTGCAGAATTCCCCGCCAGTGTAGGTTAGGTTAGGTTAGGTTAGGTTGTATAGGTTAGGTTAGGTTAGGTTTGGTTGGGAAGGTCAGTTTAGGTTTGATTGGGTACGTAAGTTAGGTTAGTTTAGGCTTGGTTGGTTGGGTTAAGGTAGTTTAGGTTTGGTTGGTTGGGTTAAGGTAGTTTAGGTTTGGTTGGTTGGATAGGATAGGATAGATTAGCATAGGTTAGGTTTGGTTGGATGTTAAGTAGTTTAGATTATTTAAGTTAAAATATGGAAAGTGTATATAAAATGAGCACAACTTGTGTGGAGGATGGCGGGGGATTCAACAACTGCCCCATTTTCTGCCCGGGACACACCTGATGCCGGGACTAATAACAAGCACAAGTTTGTAGCGTGTGTGGTGCTAAACTGGTACCCTGTTGTCTACTACATGGACAACAGATGTCACCCTATACATAACAGCACATGCATTACCGTAACACCGAACAAGAGGCCAGTTTACACATGTACCATAAACATAAAATGACCAAAATAATGGATCTTGGTCTCAACTCGCACCTGTTGTACCAACGTACGGTATTTGGCAACTTCTTCTTTCAAAATATGGTTAGCCAATCAAATGCCGTAGTCCATCGAATGATACCTGTTGTCTATGCAGTAGTCAATGGGGTATCAGTTTAGTGTAGTGCTAGATACTCCAAGTAGTAGCAGTTTGCCTAATATAGTGAGTGCATAAGTTTGTAGCGTGTGTAGTGCCAGATGCTGCAAGTAGTAGTAGTAGTAGTACAGTAGTAGTAGTGGGGAGTTGCAGACATCACTCACTGTCGGCTTGTGCTGGCAGCCACCGCGCCCTCTATGGTGTGCACCTGAAGGACAGTGAGCCGTCAAAACAAACAGGGGTCCTGAGTGTAAACTCTCGCCAAGTGTATACACACAGTTAAAGAACAACTCCAGAGGGTAGATACATATCTAAGTGACTCCTACAGGTTTCAAGTTTGATATGAAAAAATGTACCATAAACTTTCATATCAAAAAAATATTGAAACACAAAAACATTTTGAAAAATTTAATTGAAAAATCTAAACTTCCACAAAAAGTTGGTAAAATTTAGCTGGGTGCGATGACGTCACTCGAGGGAAAGAGAGAAACTGTCACTTCACCATATAATTGAAAATACATCATACTGGATAAATTAAAACTCTATTCAT